GCTTCTTCTTCCGTAGGAAGAAAAAACTTTAGGAGGATTTGCTTCCAAAAGTACATTTTTCTTTTGGTAGGACAAGAATTTGGAGTCCAGTAACAAGACTTCTGGATCATATGACAGAGTGTATATGTTCCACATGTGGCAAAGACATTGGTTAGGAAGATGAGGCCAGAGGGGGAATGTCATAGATTGAATTGTGTTCCCCTCAAAAAAGGAGCCCTGATAATGTACTAGGTTTCACTTGGGGCTGCCAACTGCAAGGTCAGCAGTCCAAAACCACTAGACACTCTGTAGAAGAAAGATGAGGCTTTCTACTCCCAACATGCATCATGGTCTCAGAAACCCACAGGAACAGCTCTACCTTGTCTGCTCGGGTCAATATGAGTCGGAATCAACTTGATGGCAGTGAGTTTGAGAGAAAATATGTGTCCATTTGGCTGGGTTCTGATTCTCAATGGTTTGGCAGTTACATAATGATGCAATCTGGCAGTCATATAATGATGTAATCATCCCCTGTGGTGTGCTCTGCCCACCTGTAGTAAGGAGATTAAGGTGTGATGCAAAACTTCTACTCAGCTCACACCCCTGATTCAATGCAAGGGGCATTCCCCTGGGGTGTGACCTGCTCCCCTTTTACCTTCTAAGAGAGGAGAGGAGATAAAAATAAGCAGGGATGGGGTGGAAAGGGTGGGATGACCATCACCTGTCAAGAAGAGCTAGGTAGGTGTACATGCTGATTCTTGGGCTGACAACCTCCCATTCTCCAGACCCAAGGAGAAAATTGATTCCAAGACACACGGAGATCTCCGAAGAACGCCTATCGATGTCTAACGTAGAGAAGGGCCTTCCGACAGAATGAAAGTCTTCTGCTAGATGCACTATGGTGAACTCAGACATCTAGCTCTGGATACACGGAGAGAATAGATTTCTGCTTACGTACGGCATGCTTGGTTGTACGTCTGCGATAGCAGTACCAGATAACTGAGACAGAATCCAGACCTCAGTGCTGTCCTGCATTCTGATTGCCTTGCTTGCCTCCTCTTTCAATAGCTTGGATGGGTTATTTGAATACCCTCCTGAGTTTTTTATCCTGATGAAGCAAACTATTAATAATTAAGGGGCATGAATTGATAAGCAAATAATGAAATTTAAAAGCTTGAGGAATATCCTGAAGATTACTGGGTAACACAAATGGCTAAGCACTCCACTCCTAGAGGATATTGGTCTGAAGCCACTCACATGAGCCTCAAAGAGAGGCCTGGTGATTTGCTTCCCAAAGGTCATGGCATCGCAAGGCCTGTGGAGTAGTTCTACTCGGCAGGCATGGGGTCACCAGGGGTCAGAATGGTCTCTGGCACAATTAGCCACAGCAAGAACAGACAAACCAATAACATGCTTAAAACTTGAGGAAAACGACTAGCGAGCAAAAGAATGATAGCGTCCAGCGGTTCTCAGCCTGTGGGTCGCAACCCCTTTGGGGTTGAATGACCCTTTCACAGGGGTCTCCCGATTCAGAACAGTAGCAAAATGACAGTGACGAAGTAGCAACGAAGATAATATTATGGATGGGGATCACCACCACATGAGGGACTGTATGAAAGGGTCGCGGCATGAGGAAGGTTGAGAACCACTGCTCTGGTCCAGGATCATTTGCTTATGCCCAAGCCTCTAGGCTTCTTGCTTTAGGACTTGGAACACAGTCAAGGCTCAAGTTCTAGCAACATAAATTTCCAAGGAGCTCAAAGAGAATCTCTCTTCAGTTCAGACACTAAAATTCATTTACTTTACCTGCTGTTCATCTGGAACACACTAACTCTTGTAGTGGACAGTTCCTTTGTGCTTTAGCAAGGTCTGCTTGCTTTCAAGACAAAGAATAAATCTAGAAGACCTGAAAGATCTCACATGGTTTATCTGACTTTGCCTGCTTCTCTATCCTTACCTCAGACCCCCTCTGCTCTCCTGTTCAACCTGTCCTTATCCTACATAAGGGAAGTCTCTCCTATTATGAGCCCATAATCCAGCTGCAATATTTATGGCAGATTATATATCTCTGCATGCTTACTTATTTAATATCAACATGCCCCAAGAAACTCTAAGTTCTATGTCTATTTGTTTTTCTATTTTCACATGAGAAAAAAAAAACACCTTACTACCATCGAACTGCATGTTTGGCAGTTCAAAACCACCAGCAGCTCCGAGAGAGCTTTCTACTCCAGTAAACAGTTATCATCTCAGAAATCCACAGGGAGTCGCTATGAGTCAGCATTGACATGATGGCAGTGAGTTCGGTTTGGTTTTTCACATTAATATATCCTTTACACCCATCCAACGCTAAAGAAAAAGGTTCAACAAATATAAACTGATTGGATTAATAAACTTTTACATTTGCTTCTTTGACCATAATAACTTTAAAGAAGCAAATTTGGGAAGTAACCCTCCCTAAAGACAAAAACTGCAATGACCATAGCAATCGGTCATGTTGAAAGGGAGGGGGGAAAAAGAAGGAAAAACACAACTATGAAAAGGAAACAAAACAACTCTGAAACCGTTGAATTCCAGTGGTAAATATTCTTACTAGTCTTTAGGAGTTAAAACGTTCTTACACTCACATCCATATATAGGTATAGATGATGACATACATGCATATTTTCATGTGCTATAAATACTCACATATCCACACATACAATATAGCTATCATGGGGCAAAGCTATGTTAACTTCTTAGCCACAACTAAACACTGGGCCTTGTAGCTTAGTGTTATAGTTTTGAGAGACATCAAGGTCAACTGGGGTAATATGGTCCACAAAGACAATGCTCTACACCCTAGAGCGTTGTGAATGGGGTCTTAAAAGCTTGAAAGAGGACATCTAAGGTGCAAAGAGTGAAGAAAATGAAAGACAAATGGAAAGGAGTCCAAAGGATAAATAGACTGTGCAAATCTCAGCATTTATGACCCTGATACCAGGGGAGCCCGATGGTACCCAGTGACACTGCTGACCAGCCGAAAGGGGCGGAGACAGAATGGGAGAAAACTGTGGAACAAATCTGCAAACCGTAAAGGAACCGGGCTTACTGGTCTAAGAGAGACCGGTGGAACCCCCAAGGGCCTTTTAATCAATCTTCAAGCTAGGAATGGAACCCACCTCCAGGACTCAACTCCCAGTCCAACCATAGACGGGGCTATGAGATGAACCATAAACATGAAAGAGGTATGCACTCCTTAGAATAATCAAATACAAGAGACCAAATGGTAACCTTTGACCAGGAATGAAGCTCAGAAGGCAGGGAAGAAAGAAAAGAAATGGGAAATGCAGGGAGGACAGGGCGGAAGTGGGAAGGATGCTGTTTCCAAAATATACATGGATTGTCGAGTGGAAAACCAATTTGCTCTATGAACATTCACTCTAACCATCAAAAGAAGTTTTTGAAAGGGGAATTAACAGATTCTTTAATTAGCCTTTAATAGAGTCATTATATTACAGGGTGGCAACACAAGTGGAACCATCAACGGAGGGGCAGGTTTCGATCTGGGGCTAAGAAAAAGAGAGAAAGCAGTCATTCACCTTTAAAAGATGCAATCCAGAGTTAGGCTAGAGGAGTTTTGATGTTTTCCAGATGTGACCTACATTTATTGATAACGTGTACTCTTTTGTATTCATCCTCCCATCCCCTAACAATATTGAATAAATGAAGTGTTCCCCAACCTCACGTTAAAGTAAATAACCTTGAATGGCGCCGCTCCTCTTTCGCTCAATTTGATAATTGCATGAAAATGATTTGCCAAATCCCTTTAGTGTTTAGAGTCTAACAAAAAGGCGTTATGTAATGACACACACACACACACACAAGCACACACATGTGCACCCTGCTGAAAAGGAGGCTAATCTGTGTTGAACGCAAACCAAATGTTGTGTCATGTTGCCTGAGCAAAGCAAAAGAAGTTTCCACTTGAATTCTAAATCAAAGATGACCTTGTGCTTTTTTTTTTTTTGAGAAAGCCTGGCAGCTGAGGTCACCGGAGTGTATTATGATGGACAGTCCAGTGCTCTGTGTGCCTCTGAGGCACGTCCTTTACATGGATTACAGCCAACTCCACGGAATGAGACAGCTTAGAGCATTCTATCATTTTATTTGAAAATAATGGCCAAAGTCTGAGGTCGCAACCATTACAACTTTCGGGAAAGAATAGCATTGCTCAATAATCCCATCACTTGAGACAGGCAGTCTGGAGCTATTCTCACCTGAAGCCTATTGATCCAGTTTACTCTCTATCGGTTTCTCATGACAGTCACAGAAACCACGTGTCCGATTCTCCAGTAGACAGACGTCACCTGCACTATACTGCGTGTAGTTCTAGCTTGAAAGGTACATCTCCCAGCTTCAAGTTGGCCAACTCGTGGGGAGGAACACAATGAGAGGGAAGACACGAGATCTGAACACAACACTCTTGGGAGGTACATCGAGATACCCCAATGGCGAATCATCCAGTGCTCAAGCCAACTTCTTGTTCAAAAGCTAGAAATAAAACTTTTCGGGCATGGGAAGGAAAAGAAGAGCAACAACAAGAGAGCTCGAAATCTGTCTCCAAGCAGAATGCCCAGGCCCCAAACCCTTCTCAGCTAACCCCATCAACAAAGCGTTCCCAAAGAAGCCCAAGCCTCTGTTGGTTCCATCTGCGACTTCTGAGCTATTTCTCAAGTGCCCCAGCGGACTAGTGGACTATTTTGAATGATATGGGCTTATTTTTTACTTCCACTTCTTTTAGGAGTACATGAATGGTAGCATACACACACACACACACACACACACACACACACACAAATATATGCTTGAGATTTAAACGCACGTAGAAAAAAATCACTTCTGATTAAGCAGGGGAACTAGTTCCAATTTTGTGCTTTCCACTCTGTCTGAGTAGCTGCTATTCCTCTAGTCCGATTCAGACTCGGTAGTCATTTCTAAACTATTGTGATGCAAAGAACAAGAATTGAGTTGGAACTCACCATTGAAATTGACGGCCCGAATGTAACCAAGCAGCTCTTTCCCATCGATGGTGCTCATCCGTGGGCACAGGCCAATGTACCCAGGGCAGAGGTCCTTGTGCAGATTGTGCAGGGCATAAGCCATGGAATATACCGCATCGATTACAAATTGCACCTTCCCTTCCTGTTCGTAAGATGAATCCCGGGCAATGCGCTCCAGTCCTGAAAAACAGAAAGGTATCAATTTTCTCCATGAGATTTCAATAAAAGATGGCATCGAGGCTAAGATTTCCATCACAGGAGGCACATTTAATGAGACCAAACAATCTGATTTTACTTTTCAATTACTTTAAACCAAGACTTCCTGAGTCAGGCTTTTAAACTAGACGTGGGATTTTTCATTTGTGAGGAACAAAAAGTGATTTCATTAGCCGTCAACAGATACAAAGTAAATAAGAGAAGCATGCTTTCAGTATGGTTATTTCTACTTTATTGAGTCCTATTATATGGTACGTTCTAGTCATTACATAACATTTCAGTAATTGATCTTGTCATTCTTTTCATCTACTTCAAATCCTTCTGCTTTTTGATTGTTTTTTAAAAAATCTTTTTCATTCATACTGCTCTTGCTTTGAATGCCCCCCGTTTGAGAACCCTTTATCTACATATATAAAAATGTTTCCTTAAGAAAGCATCTTTATCTTTAGGAAGATCATCTCATTTATTTTTGTTGCTGTTTTAATTTTCTATTTTAAAAAATGTAGATCTCCCAGATTTAATGTCAACCTGAATAAGTGTATCTGTGTGTAGGGCATGTCTCAGGATGGGAATTGCCAGCGACTTAGTGTTTATCATTCACTTTGTACAAGGGGGAAAAAAGGATCTCAATGGTGGAGCCATTATGAGTTGGACCACTAGCCACAAGGTCAGCAGTCAAATCTACCAGCTCATCCTCAAGAGAAAGATTTGGCTTTCTGTTTCTGAAAAGAGTTAGTCTTGGAAACCCTCTGGGACAATTCTACCCTGTTCTATTGGGTCACTATGAGTCAGAATTGACTCAATATCAGGGAATCTGGTCAGTCTTGTACCAGAAACAAAGGATTCAAAGAGGAAATACAATAGAGTAGAAAATAAAGTCGAAATCATCTATAATTCAAAATTCCCCTTCTGGAAACACACACACACACATATGTTCATAAAGGCTAACATCACATAGAAACAAATAGATGATCTGAAAAGAATTCTCAGATCTCAAACTCTAAGCTCAATATTTGCTCACCACCCCTCGCTGAACAAAGTGGAGCCCTGGTGGTGTGTTGCGTTATGAACTGGATTGCTAATCAGAAGATCAGCAATTGGAACCCAACAGCTGCCCCATGGGAGAAAGATGAAGCTTCTAATCCCGTCCATGGTTCCAGTCTTGGAAACCCACATGGCCGTGTCTCGGTCCTATCAGGGGTGCTATGGTGAGTTGGAATCGACTCGGTATCAGTGAGTTTGATTTGCTGCCAGACAGAGTTAGTGGGCTGTGAAGGGTCGGGTCAAGTCTATTCTACTCATAGTGACACCATGGGTCACAGCAATGTTCCAGAGTTTTCTGGGTTATAATCATACAGGCGCAGAGCACCAAATCTTTCTCCCATGGTGTCACTGGGGAGGTTTGGAACACTCACCTTCCCGTTGGTAGTCAAGTGCTTAACCATTGAACCCTCAAACCGACTCACCACTAACTTTATACATCTAAGAACACCAGAGGCCAAACACCTTAAACTTTCCCACGCATGGACGTCAGTTACTATCCTTTACAAGATAGTCTTTCTATACAACAAACGTTCATTTTCTTTGTACTAAAATTATGTTGTTGATGATATTAGGTGCCAATGAGTCCATTCCGACCCCTAGCGACCAGATGCCCAAAAGAACAAAACACGCCACAGGCCTACACCATCCGCACAATCTGTCCCATGCTTGAGTCCATATTACCAATGGACCTGTCCACTGTATTAATCCATCTTGTTGAGGGTCTTCCTCTTTGCTGCCGTCCATCCACTTTACCAAGCACGAGGTTTCTTCTCAATTCTGACTCATTGGGACCCCAAAAGGCAGAGCAGAGTAGAACTTCCCTGTGTGGTCTCTGAAGCTGTTAATCTCTATAGGAGCAGAAAACCTCATTCTGCTCCCAAGATGGTTTCAAAGTGGCAACCTTGTAATTACAGCCCAATGCATAACCCAGTGAGCTGAATGAAAATAGTTGATGTGCCCACTGTTCTTTAACACCAACTCTAATGTAATTCTGATAAGAACAGTGATTTTCTTCCAGCCAAACGTGATGGGTTGTCTGTCTATTCATTTGTAATTAGACGGTAGTCGTCAACTTGGCTGTTCTCGTCTCTGTTGGATGCTGGTGATAGATGCTCTCTCTGCAGCCTTCTCGGGGCTAAATTCTGGGCCCTCCCTTTTCAGCCGGCCTTTTCTGATGGTTTGATGACTCAACTTTCCATTCTCCAAGGCTCATCCTCCTGTCTTCATCCTCAAAGGTCGTTTATTGTCAACATCTTTAAATTCTACGTCTGCAGGTTAGAAGTATATATTGGAATCCAAAAGGCAGGTGTACGAGACAAACACCAAACCACACTCACTGCCATCAAGTTGATGCCAACTCAGGGACCCTGTAGGACAGGGTTGACTGTCTGTGTGGAGACAATTTCCAAAATGGGCAAAGTTGAATGTTATATATTGGCGCAGGAGTTACAAGTTCGGCTGTGGGCCACGAGCTCAGCAGTGCAAAGCCACCAGGTGCTCCACAGGAGAAAGATGAACCTTTCCACTCCTGTGAAGAGTTTCAGTCTCGAAAACCCACAAGAGCAGATCAACACTGTCCTATAAGGTCACCATGAGTCATAAATGACTCCCCATTGGCAGTGGGTTTTGTTGTTGTTATTGTTGTTTTTAAGTCCAACTCACTGCATCTACAACCAGGCTATCATTATAAGGAAGGACATCATGACTGTTTTGCAAGTTTGGGAGCATGGAGAAATGGTGAGGTAGTTAGTTTATTGTGCCAACCTGGCTGATAAACACAGGTGGGATTAATTGAAGGGCAAAGAGATAATGGCTCGGGGAACCCCGCCCTTCCTGGCCCTTCCCCCTGGGAGAACAGAACAAGGGGGGACTGCCTTGCTTGTTCTGTGCCTCAATCTGAAAGCTGCACTACCCGTGGGACACCTAACCCGTAGACTGTGTCGCTGTAACTTGAGACTCCTTCAATACCTGCTTTGCCACACCATCGGAATTTACATCTTGAGCTGGGGACTGTCGGATCCTGTCATCTGGCTGACTGCTGGTGACCCGCCTTGCTGTTTGCTGCCTGTGCCCAGATAGCCTGATGTGCTCTATAGAAGACTACGCGGTAGCCCTCATGACTTGAAGGACTTCCAGTGTTTCACAACTGTCTCACGGGAGTGAGTTGCACTGAGCCATTTGTACTGCTTTATAATTTCACTGTTTATTTCTTATGTTATACATCTATCTATCTGTATAAATATATATAAAATGATTAGCATTCTGGTTTTGTTTCTCGAGAGAACCCTATCTAACACAAATGGTGACATGCAGTTCTCACCAAGAGCAGTTTCCAAAGTCTAATGGTGGAGAGTCTCCGTCAGGGTTCTTAATGTCCTCTAAGTAGAGATGCCACAGCACCACTCCAGGGTCACTAAATCATTCTCTCCAGACCTGGGGCCTTGAAGAAGCTGCCATTTATAATTCAAGAGTCTCCCAGAAGAACCCGATACAGCCAGCCTCGGCAATGGGACCAGCTTTTGGAAACCCTAGCTTACCAATACCTCAGTTCTTTAAACAAAGTAGAAAGCAAATGTTTTGAGAATGATGATGGCAACAAATGTACAAATGTGCTTGACACAATGGATGGATGGATGGATTGTGATAAGAATTGTACGAACCCCCAATAAAATGATTTTTAAAAAAGAAAAAAAAAGAATAGGGTAGCTCATGTTTAAAGAAATGTATGGCACTGAAGTATCTAAATAGGAAAAACTTGTGTCATGGTATATCCAACTCATATAAATCAAAACCGTGCCTTTTCCCCACCAAAGAGGGAGCCTACGGACATGCAATTCCCAGTAGCTATCAGTTTCAAGGCTTCAGCCAAATCTTTACACACAGACAGAAGCCTAGAGCTGATTGAGAGACAGGGCAAGAAAGAACAAGAGAGGGCCATGAAATGATCTACATTTTTTTTAAGTGTAACATTAAGTGCCTTCTTTTGGGGAGGGTGGAAGCAGAGAAGATACAAAGGAACAGAGAAGAGAAGGGGGAAAAAAAGGACAAATTTTGACTGGCTCAACACAGATAAAATCTAGAGGCCAAGGCACAATAAAACCTCAGAGATCAAACCTTCTGTGTTAAGATGTATTGCTGCTCAGTAAATATCTTTGCTAAAGAGACACACACACTTACACACACACACACAGACCTTCTCTGAATAGCAGTGTTTGTTTATTTATCTGATGTTCTTTTCCACTTGTAGACTTTAGAGAAAAGGGCAGATTTCTGTGTTTCTGTTAATGTAGGATAGGGGAATTGACTGAAAATGCCAACTCCAATTGATTCAAAGAAAGCAAGGAGAATATTGAAGAATTTGAAAATGTCCGCAAATCCAAGGCATACACTAAGAGATAGAGGTATATGAGTTACTTGAATGTCATGCTAACTCCCTATCAATCTATGGAGATAATCCCGAACATTTCATGGCTGTCACAAATATATCTGTAACATGTCCCTGAGAGACTGGAATAAACACGAGGAGCCCTGGTGGCACATGGCTTAATGACTCAGCAGCTAACAAAAGTCAGCACTTCCAATGCACCAAATGTCCCCTGGACAAAGAACCTGCCAGTCTGTTTCTTTGCAGATGACAGCCTTGGAAACCTATGGGGCATCTGTCCTGCAGGGTCACTGTGAACCAGAAATGACTCCATGATAGAAGGTGGACTTGCGTTCTCTCAATGACAGCATTGAAATACTCGGGGCTCTAGGAATTGCCTCTCTCAGCCCCTCTGCCTTCCTGCCTGCTGGAACTCTGCATGCCTCAAGGGGTGGCCCTGTGTGGCACACTGGACCCTGAGAGCTGTAGGTGCCCTACCATGTTTCCACCAACTTTGGATCCCTGTGAGTCTGCACCCTCCAGCCTGTGGTCTTCC